ATTTTTGCAAACTGTCATCATCCATAATATACTGAGGTGGTTGCTAGGTGACAGTTTCAGACCATTCCAACAAGGGTGTACTTGAGTAGGGCAAGTGATGCATAATAGAAGACAATTGCTGTAATTTAATACAACCACTATTATTACTATTGTTGTTATTATTTTATTACTACATTTGTCTGAAGGCTGTACCCTTTGCAAATTAAATGAAACTGCATTTCAAATTGCCCAGACAACACTATTAAAACAAAATTGCAACCTGCTTTGGGTTGCAATTAACAGTTTGAGAATCATCGGCTTATTCTAATACACTACATAAGACAGTACTAAAATAAGGAGTATGATTAAAAAATGTTTCCTAGAGCCTTAGACAAGATATTTATATGACTTTGTTTTATAGAAAATGTATCAGATTTGTTTTGTTAAACTTTATATATTTCTGTGATTTCTATGCTTGCCATTGATTTTCACAGTTTACAGTGAGTAACAGTGAGCCAGTTTAAGTTTGTTGATACATTCTTTGCTCTGGTTTTATTTTTGTTGAAAACAAGGTTATAATATGTCAACATACTGTATGTGTAAGCATTATATTGAAATGTAGAGATTAAATTAACCGTTAGAAGGGAGATACAGTGCCTTGCAAAAGTCCTACCTAATTTCAACAATGTCCCATTTTGTTGAATTACAAAAGTGTTGTACACATTTTTTAAAGTGCACATTTTAAATAAAATGTCAGTGCCCAGAATGAACACTTTTATGGTGTAACCTGAATAAAAAATTAATTGTCAGTAAAAAGGGCAAAGAAAAACTAATGCTGATTGCCTTCACCCTCTTGAGTCAATAATTGATAGAAACGCTTTCGGCAGCAATTACAGCTGCAAGTCTTTTTGATAAGTCTCAGCCACCTTTGCAGACTGGGACAGTGCAAGTTTCACTCATTCTGTTAAGCAGACTCGGTCAACCTCTGTCGAGTTGGCTGGGGATTGTTCAAGTCTTGCCACAAGTCATGACTGTGACTGGACCATTCAAGAATATTTACATTCTTCTTTTCTTTGTTCCTCCTTTCCAGTGTAGTTGTGCCCTTGTTCTTTAGGTCATTGTCCTTCTGAAAGGTGATTCTCTATCCTAGGTTTAGGACCTTAGCAGATGGAAGCAGATTTTCCTCTAGGTCTGAACAGTACTCTATTCCATCTGTTTTCTTGTCAAATCTGTTTTTTGACAAGCTTCCCTGTCCCTGCTGATGAAAAGCAACTCCATAGTTGCCACCACCATGCAAGACAATAGAGATGGTGTTTACTAAGTAATGCACGGTGTCTGCTTTGCTCCAAATGTTTTATTTTGTAGATAGATCAAGGTTTTTTGTCTTTTAAATTGTAAAATGTTGCTTTGCAGTAATGGCTTCCTTCTTGCCATTCTGACCAGCTTTTACTTATGGAACATTTCTCCTATCAGCTTCTCTTTTTAGAGTTTCTGTTCCCCTCACAATGTTGGTCCTAACCAGTTTTCTCCTTGCCAGCCTGCTCAGGTTGGAGGGATAGCCTGATTTAGGCACTCGCTGGTTGGTACAATATAGGTTTCACTTCTTAATTGACTTTGCAATGCTTAGAGAGATATTCAGTGCCTTAGAGTTCCAAAAGCTTCTTAATCATCATGGCTGAATCTCTGATTGAGATTCTACACCTTACTGAAAGATCTACATTAACAGAGATAGAGATATTTATTTTTAAAAAAGCACTATTTTTACACATGATGTAAAACTCAAATAATGTAGGTTTGCCATAGCAAATGGGATACAATCAATGTATTTTAGTTTTTGATTTCTCTTTTCAGTTTTTGCTGACAACTTCTTTCACCTACAAAAGTGTTTGTCTTGAGCTTTAATTTGTTTATTAAAAATCTTCAAGTAAAAATGTGTGTACATCATTTGCAATGTGAGGCAAATATGGCATTATTGAAAAGAGGTTAATACTTCTGGTAGACAATATGTGCATTCTGGAGTTCCACCATTAAGAGTGTAGTTGAAGATAAACTTAGTTCATCCAGCCAAACGTATAGGGGTCTAATCGGAAATTAATTCCTAAGTAATGTAGCTTCAGCTATTCAGCTGTATGTATGACACTACTCAGTAGATAACACTTTCCTTTAACAAAGAATGAATAGTTCTTAGGCCAGCTTTGTAAACCTGTACAACACGTTGAACTACAACATAATAAAATCCTTGTAGACATAGCTGCAATGCTGGATTGTTACACTCAAAAAACAGAGCAGAAGGATGCGATGTCCTTTTCCCAGACTGGGTACCTTACAGAAAAGCTTGCTGAAGATGTGGCTGCTTGTGTCTCAGACTATTCATTACTGTATGTCTGTGTGTTCAGAATTTGCTGATTATCAGCTCAGTTCTTTATCTCTTAATCACAACCTTGTTGATCAAATTCTGTCACCCTCTGTGGAGAAAGGAATATTGTGGAGAAGAGCTTTTTGCACCCAGGCTACAAGAGAAGGGTTCTTTGCCAGAAGAGAAGACTGTCTCACAACTAATAATATGGTCACCTCTGGTGCTTGTGGCAATGCCTTTCATACTGTATGTGAGCCTCTGTGAGCTGTGCAGATTTCTTACATAGCAGACTATTGTATGCAATTCAAGCCAAAATATTTACAAATAACTAAAGATATCCTTATATGTGTAAAGATATCTTAAAATGATTTAGACAGATCTCTGTATGATAATTGTCATAGTATGGCAGTCTAGGCTGTGTGATCTAGTGTGTGTCAACTCGCAAAAGACAAAATATTTACAGACTAAGGGGAACAGACTAATTAAACATACTGTTTGGTACATTTGCATTTTTACTTTTTGATTGTTTTTTTAATGTACTTTATTTATTATTCTATATTTTGTAAGTTGCTCTGGATAAGGGCACTTGCTAAACAAAATGCAAATGAATGCCTCCTGAAATGTGTCGTCTTGTACTTTCAAAAGCTTGAGATCATGTTGTGGCATAAACACAATCTTTGCTAGTGTGTGCAGTATGCTGGAGCAATTGCAGAAATTTTCCAATGGGAAGTCACCTGCCAATGAGTAATCTCCTCATGTCACTGCCTTTCCATATTTCTTCTGATGTTTAAATTTAAAAAGAAAATACAGATAGTTGCACCTTGTATCATGAGAACAAATAGAGATTATCTTTTATTTTTGCACTAATTTTTATTGTTTGCTCTACTCCAAGTGGTAATGTTTCAGATTTGTGTATCCACTCTGTGCTGCCATCAAGCATTTACAGTTTTAGAATATCTTCAGTGTAACATTGTCCTTTGATTGCAGATTGTTTGTGCTTAGGATCTTCTCCAGGGAGCCCTCCTGTTTTATGGAAGTATAAAAACGTCATTCCGGGAAAAAAGAGTACTAAAAACCTCCCAGAATTATTTGAGAATACAAGTGTAATCGCACTTTAACACTTACAAATGTCTGGAATGAGCTATTTGGGTTGGCACAGGAGGTTTTTATGCAAACCTGTGACAAGAATTTTTCATCTGGCGCTAATTTCTTAGTGTCTGGACGGTCACCTGTCTTATGCTGTTGAACAGTGCATGGTGATTAAAAAATTAAAATGTGGGAATTGGTGTACTGCTTCCTAATCTTTTCAAGAACATAAGATCCTAAAAGTTATCTTCCAATGGTAATGAAAGCCAGGTGCTCTCCAGGATAACATCACACTATTGCGAACAGATTTATGAAGTTTTACCCAAAGTGACTTGTTTAATAGGCTCACAAGTCCAGTATTGATGGATACATGAAAAAAATCTGAAGAAAGTGTGAATGTGCATTAATTCATGAGCCTTTTTTTCCTTTTCCTTGCTGTCATGATTTCTTAATCTAGGAACTATGGCCAGAATACATTATGGTTCTTATGTGCATCCTACATTTAGGCAGCCAACTATGAAGGATATTCAATGTTATCTTTCTAGAAAATGAGATTAGATAGTAAAATCTGGGAATTATTTTCCACCAGGTGACAAAGAAGACAGAAACTAAATAATCGTCATTGAAGACTTTCAGTTAATTTATGGGGTCATGACTTTGAAATACTTTATGTAATGCTGTATCTCATTTTTTGAATTTTTAATCTTTCAGATAGCCTACAATTGCTAAGAAATGAGTTATATAGCTCCTAGTGAAACACTGCATAAATGTACTACAAAGTTAAATTCAAATGAAATTTCAGATGAAAGCTTTGGATTATGTTTGTTTGGTGATATTCTGTGTTTTATGGCAAGTAACTTCCTAGAGACTACAGTAGCTGCAGTTTTCAACAAAAAGTATTAATTGGTGTTAAATTTATCTACAGCTAGGCATGAGTTTTAAAAAAACACAAGGTTTTATATAATTATGACTGCAAAAATATGAACATTACAGAATATTGTATACTGTACATTGGATAGATAGGACATGAAATGTATACAAAATTGTTAAATTAGACATTCATTAAAATAAATCTTAGATAATAACTCATACTGTATATTGAAGAGTCAAAATATAAAACTATAAACTAAGTGCTGTGTATCAGTTGATGTATGTTAAAGCCACATTTACAGTAGGCTACTAAATGGTTTTTATATAATGGACCTTATTTTATAGTGTCATTTGAATGCATTATATTCTTATGAGGATAAATAAAGTATTAATAAGCTGTATTAATAATTAAGTCTTAATTTGAATCTAAAAATAAACATCTTCCAGTGAAATGGTATTAAAAATAAGTTGTAATGTGCTTATGTTAATACTCTTTGTACTAGTATTGTAGATAATGTATATTTCCAATTAGAGAGTTTTACTCATACTATATAATTTTATACAGTATTAATGTGTATGTACTGTATGCATTTCCTTGTGAGTTTTTTGCCTGGCCTTTTTTCAGAATGCAGGTTCATACTAATGTTGAAATGCTATATAGTACTCTTAGTCAAACTTGAACATGGTCTGTTTTTATGTTGATATCCAGGTAATGAGTTTGGCCACCCAGAATGGCTGGACTTCCCAAGGAAAGGAAACAATGAGAGCTACCACTATGCCAGGAGGCAGTTTAACTTGATCGATATCGATCACCTGCGATACAAGATGTTGTACGCCTTTGACAGGGACATGAACAGAACTGAGGACAAGTTTGGCTGGCTCGCTGCCCCTCCTGTAAGTATATACAGTAGTTGTACATTACATACAGGACATATAGGTTACATGTAGATGTTTTCAAGAATCACAGCCAGCAATAATTGCTCACACTGAAAGGTAAGCATGTCATTTCATCTTGCACATTTGCAGTATGTTGCCAGTGGTGCCTGAAATTTTCTAAAAAGTGTGCTTGCATTTATTCACTTTGATATGGCGGTTTTTCTTGTTTTCTAAAAAAAAAAAGATTTGAATCAAACTTTTTTAAAGGTAAACTTTCAACAGAAAAATTGTTAGAATTGATAATTGAGGAGGCCATTTTGGCCCATGTAGCCTCATTTGGTAGCTCACAACTAATTGATTGAAAAATATCTCATCCAGTTGTTTCTTGAATGAATTCAGGGTGCTGGCTTCATCAACATGGCTAATGGTTTGTTCTGCACTCCCATAACCTTTTGCATGAAGAAGTTAAAGCAGTTATCATTTTAATATATTTTTCCTTGCAGGGACTAAACCCAAAATCCATACAAAGCTGTCACTAATTGAAATGCTCATGTTTGAAGTCTGTCTTTGAAGAATTACACTTGCTGAACTTGCTTCTCTGCTGAATCTAGTTTATCGCAGAATTGTACGCCATTGTGTGAATTTAGTTTTTTGTTAACAGATTTAATTCACAGAAGAAAACAATGAACAAAAATAGATATTCAGTGTGTGAATTCACTGTATGAACTACAGTATACAGTCTGTGAAATGCAAACCTCAAGAACTAGATAGACCACACCACCTTGTATCGTTTTTTATTTAAACTTTACTGGAAATCCAAAATGATTTAAATTTGAAAGTTTAGAGAATGAACTGGGAGGAAGGGTTAAGGGAAGTGTGGGGATTAGAAGGGGCAATCGAAGGTAAGGCCTTCAAATATTATAGAGGTGATGCTATCTCTGACCTTAAGAATCAAGATTTTGATGACCTGTGAGTGCTAATCAATAGCAGAGCATGTTGAGGAGGTATTTTGTTAGTGTGGGTATTGCAAAAGAATAGTATACCTAAGCTGTGGTGTTTAATAGATACCAAACAGCTGGAAATTTGGATTTATAATTTATTTGGATTTATCAGGCTGTACAATTTTGTGGCAAAAAGAAGAGTCAAATTACATTTTCTGTCATTCCGTTCTTAAATCATGATAGCCTTTTTATCTATTTCTGAATAATTGTTTCAGTATGCAGTACTGGATGTATTTAGGGGGCAATTTGTATTTTTTTTACATAATAAAGTTTACTTTAACAAGTATGTTTTTTCTTTGCAAACTTCCAAACTAGTGTAAAAGAAACAAATAGCATCATTTCCACCACTGTAAATCTTGCTGGATTATAGCCATGGCTTGTTTTGCACCTAGGTATTTTCTTTTACGATCAGCAAAGCTTTGTAAGTTAAGCTACAGTGTGTGCTGGAATGTTTTTTTAACACCTATTGCATTATACAGTTACCCATGTAACTGTAAAGTGAACTATCTAATAGCTTCAGTAGCTTTCTTACAAAGAAATCTGAATGTTCCTCTATTCTTGTAACCGCCAGCTACTGTAAATTAAAGCCAAGGTAATGCCACTAAAACATGTCTGGATAAACTCCAAGGATTACCAGAAAGTCTTTTTGATTGATTCTGTAATACTTCTGTAATGGTCCACTCTACAGTTTTCACCTCCCTGTATTCACCAGTGACCTTGGATATTTTAATGAAAAAAGATATACTGTATGCTTACATACATATAAAAAATAAAATAAATGTAACAACGGTTAAAATGGAGCAACTGCTTAGGCACAACCCTGACTGAAAGCATGGTCTTGAGCGATAACAGTAAAGAGTGAAACGATTTTTTTCTTTCATTTTCTAGTACAAACAGTGTTGAATGAATTGGTCTATTACACCCTTTGGGACCTGAGAATTTCTCAACCTATCGGGAGAAAACAAGCAGAAGTATCTGTCACCAATTCCCCGCGGGTTAGCTCCTCATTAGCTAAAACGAGGGAAACATCAGGTTTGATCTAGCACTGCTGATGTCGGCTATTAGTCTGAGCCTTGTGCGGACATGCAAACCGGGGATGTCTTTATTGGATTTGTTGTTAAAAGACTTGCTCTGTTCATCTTCTCTTGGAGACCGAGCTCCCCCTTGAAGTGTGCTCATACGTTTTAGCACATGTTAAATTAACAGCTCTGTCAAACAGGGGAACATGAGCTCTTTTGCAGTATTAAAAGCAGACTGTTAATCCACACACAGAGCTACTCATCTGCACACAGGGTGCCTGTACAGTGTTTTCCAGCACACATTATGACACTGTCCAGCTTACTTATGTTTGTACAATAAATGAGCCAAGGAGATAGAATCATTATTTTTTCAATAATGTAGGAGAAACGAGCATTGTAATCATAGTCACTAGGAGAACCCAAAGGAACCAAAAAAGACTTTTTAAGAATCGGAATGCACACTCCTTCCGATTATATCTAGTTTTACTTTTGCAAGCCAATCTCAAAAGAATTCAGAAAATCTGACTCTTACTGTGAGATATTTACTTTTATATAGGGTGAAGAGTGTGCAAAATGCACGTTACGATTTGCATATCCTCTGCATTTACTTCTCAGTGTTCATTACATACAGTATAACATGTACAATATATAGTGTAGTGAATTCGGGTTCTTGGGCTTGTGCCCAAATTGTGCCCAGTTCGTCCTTCACCGTATGGGCTCGAATCCAGGTCTCTGGTGTTGCTCAACAGGGGTATTCCAGGTTGAGCTAAAGAAGGCCTTCGTCATCCCAGGCAACCAACATCCCTGTTATGCGCAGGGGAGGGCAGTGCTGTCACTGTGTGGCAACCGGCTCGTACAACCTGTATGTCAGCTGTATTCATTACAATATACAGTACTGTATATTTTACATGTATGCATACAGGAAACTTAAGATTGCACCTATACAGTAAATATACAGTACTAAAATATAGTACTTATAAACTTGGGACCAGGTGTAGACAGTACACTAACACTTACACCCTGTTTACATTTACTGCATCGTGTAATGTTGAAATCAAAGGACAGCCATTCTTAAGCAAAAGTCAGAAAAGTATTTGGAGGTACCCATGTTACTGGCATTTCATTTTGCTGTTTCCGACAGTGGACAGTTTCACTTTAGAACTGTCTGTTTGGTTGTGTGCTAATGTCTGCAAATACTTCATTGCAAAAGTCAGACAAACATCAAGAAAACCTTGTTTTAGACATAGCAAGAGCTATACTCTTCATTACAATTTATTCACCCATGTACTTGGTCATGACTTTATTCTCAAGAACCCAAACACATGACCTGTGGGCAGGATCAGGCCAGCCAAGCCTATGGTGCAATATTTCTTCAGCTCATACAGCAGTTGCAATTGGCCGGGATTTCATGTAGACCCTGTCCTGACCGTGATGTTACTGTGTCACAAAAACATGTGCTACCTGTGGTTCTCAACCACTGTCCATTTCCAGTGCTCCTGTTTGATGATGTCACAGATCTAGTTTGACAGGGATGTGCCTTTGGATGAAAATGGTAGAGAAAAAAAATGTCACTGCAAGACTTGTGCTCACATGTCCTCAAAATCCTCCTCCTCCAATTCTGGAGCAAAGTCAGTAACACTAATTTGGATAAATCAAGTTTTAATATTGTGACGGCTGAGGTTTATGTAGTTTGTCATTTATTTTCACCAGTGATTGAGTAAGATGTCCTGACATTATTTTCAACAGAGTAGAGATGTTTGTAGTATAGAATAATCCCAACTATTCAAATTTAAAATAATTGCAGTTAATAGGGTTGAAAAACATCACTTACTCTGAGGATAATTGATAAGTTTTGCTTTAATGGTTAATGATGATGTATTGACTACTAATTGCATTTGTTTTAAAATAAAATATCACAAATCATATTCTATATGGTGGTGCCAAGTATTTGAACCTTTATGGTATATATGGCCTGCTTGAAATACATCTAAACAATATCTAGACATAGCTTCAGTTATATGCAATACTTAAATGCTTCCTACTGTGTTTAGTATTTCTGCTTAATCTTGGAGAAGTATTTCATTATACTGTATTTGCAATTATACAGTATACTACTCCAGTTCTTTCTTTGCCTTTTTTAAATTGGAATATTTAAACGTTTTAAAAAAATGTAGTTTTGTTTTATGAAGATGTTCTCTAAAAGAGAATTTAGCCAAAATTCCAAGAATATGTCAAAGTGAATTATTTCCATCCTATATTGTATTTTGCAGTGTTTGTACCTTTAACCATTTATACAGTAGCTGCTCATAGACAGGAAAGATTTATTCTGTGGAGAAAAAAATCCTCCTTTGTCTGTTCAAACTGTTGACAGTAAGCATCTACAAATGACAGTGTGTTCCTTATTTTAAAAGGGAACTGTATTTGAGAATGCTCTTTAAGTGTATTTAATAGAAAAAATAAGCTATCTTGCACTTTTACCACATTGAATTCTTATAATACAAAAAGATTGTGTAAATCTTAAAAAATGAAATCATACTAACAAGCTCTTGCATTGGTCTTTTTGTTTTAGAATGTACCAGTTTAGTACTGTGATTCTCTCTCTTGAGAATGCTGTTTGTACCTCAGACATTTAACATATGCAGCACTTTTGGGCACCTTTAAAGCCATTTCTAAAACAAAATAATCCATTTAGCTGATTTCAACAATGTAGTGCTAAGCTAGTAACTTAAAAGCCAGTCTTCTTGTCTTGAACAGATGGAAAAAGTCATCTGTTGCCAAATATATTAACTTCCCTTAAATTGGCAGATCAGGGATTAAACAAGAGGTTCTCTCACACTTTTGAATTTTTCATTTAGACAGACACAGGCTGGAATTAGTGCATGTACAGTATAAGTACTTATCTTGATTGCAGATCAGACAGTTAAAAAGACCACTTGTATTTTTTAATCATTTTGACAGTAGCAGTCACTGGAAAGATGATGGGAAATAAAGTGCATAAAACTGGTAATTATTAAAATGGAGTCATTTCCTGGATTTCACTGAATCTGAGCAATATGTTGCACCATGGAGCACCCTGGTGCACGTTAAGAGGTCAAATGCATACAACAGTAGATCATGATGATGCAAAATTAAGCTGGAGATTGCGGCGATAGACTCTAACCAGCAGAGACATTTTATTTAAATTAATATTGTGCTCAGCTCCTCTCAGAGTGAAAAGTATCAGGACTGTGTATTATTAGTTGCATATGTATTGTTGCTACATTAAAAATTAAAGCTTACAGTCAATTTCTATTATTATAGAAATAGATTTTCAGTTACCACTTCATTCATTTCTTATCTTATTTTAATGTTGTTTCAGGTCAAAATTCTTTTGAATTTTGTAAGCAATGTGAAAGTAAAATAATGAATCCTGGGGGTAGATTAGTGAGCTGTTATTTTAACCCACCGCTGGTGCCCTTAAATACCAGCAGAGGTTGTTTCTCTGGATGCCAGCACTAGCTGATACTGAGTTGTTTAATGGTGCTGTATTTCAAAGAGAAATAAAAAAAGCATTATGGAGCTTTACTTAAAAGTGCAATTTGTATCTGGGACTTTGAAGATTCGTAGCAGCAGGCTTCAAAGAGGTAATCTGTGCTAGACTTAAAATCCTTGCTAGGGAGTCAGTGCTACCAGAAGAGCCTTCCACTCCTTTGGAAAAAAAAAAATAAGTGATGGGGCAGTCATGCATATGCAAATACACAAAAGTGGATTGGCTCTTCAAACTCTGCTTTCCACTCCTTCATATATTATTCAGAAGTGTCTGACATGCTTGGAAATACAGACTTTTAGACTGCTTTCCCTGAAAAGGGCTCCAAAGCACTTGAAATTAATTGAATCAAACTTTAATGCCCATATATTTTTATAATGAGAGTGTTGGCCCTTTTCAACCCGAACACAGGCTGCTTATCTCCTGCACTAGCAGATCTTACACTTTGAAATTGGTGGGAGGGATGACTAAGTGCTAAAAATAAGGTTGAGTGACAGTGCTAATCTCTTCTAATGACACCTTATCAGACATTCACTTTAAAGGAAATGGTGACTCCTTATAATTACGGCCATCAGACCTGACAGCTGGAAACCGTGTCGTTTTTGCATTACCCCTGTGAATGTTAGAATTCTGGCACCGCTTTGAAAGTCCTCTGCAGATGGGATCTGCACAGAATAGAGCATAGAATAGGGTGGAAAAACAAGACTGCTTTCTTGATACACTGCCAGGATAGGACATTGATATTCACCACTGGTCCTGGACAGTTGCCACGTCTTCTGGTTTTCATTCTGCTCTGGACTCTTAATGTCTTTATCCCAATGAGTTGTTCACTTAATTGCTCTATATTGCCACTGTTTCCAGGTCTTCTCTCATTAAAGCTTATAAGTTATCTATAAAACCCGGTGAACTGTGATCCTTCAGGACCAGGTGTGAATATGGGAAAGGATTTTTTTTGTTCTCGTAGGAAATATGCTTCACTTTTGCCAACACCCTATAAAGTCAAACTAAGTTTCCAACATTGCTTGTATACGGAAAATAGTCTTCCAAACCCATGATGCATCTTTCTAAATTGTGAAATTGTTCCATTTCATTTCCCCCAATTGAAATTGATTAAGAGTTGCATTGTTTGCCAATTCCTTATCAATTCATTTAATTGCTGCAACCCTCAAAGTGGCACAGAGGAGATGAGGATGACACAGACAATTCTAAAATAAAAGAGTCCTCCCTAATGAGCACTATCAGACCATCTGCTTCTTTTCTGACTATAGCCTAAAGAGCTCATGACAGAGCTAAGATTTTTTTTTGGATGGAGACCTGAAGCAGGTCTTGCTAACAATACTGAGAGCTCACACTGGCAAGCCAAGGAAGCCCTGACCAACTTTGTTCCCAGTACGCACAGCAGTGCACACTGCTTCATGATGATTGACTGATTCATCGCAATGATTTCTGGTTCATAGGGCTTCCATGTTTTCATAGTGCATGTTTTACTGACATGAGTCACTTGAGGATGGCTCTGAGATTTACACTTAGTTAAAACATTTTATAAACAAGGTCTGGAACAGTTTTTTCCAGAGCTAAACATTTAGTTCCAAGAGGACTTCAGAAATCATCCAGTATTGGTACGTGGTTGTGAAATGGTGCATTATAGCAAAAGTGTGTATCAATATTTCTGTTTGATAAAATGTGCTCATGCTGTATTTTATACGGCTTTTCTTCCTTACAGGCCTTTGTGAGCACAAAGCACGAGGGAGACAAGATCATTGCTTTCGAGAGAGGAAACGTTCTCTTCATTTTTAACTTCCATCCATCCAATAGCTACACGGACTACAGAGTGGGAGTAGAGCTGCCTGGGAAGTATCCTTTTAACTGCCTTGTTTACTTCCACGTTCACTGTTCCCCATTGCTTCGGCCCTCTGTTCACGGACCTCTGACTTTCTTGCACATTGTAGGTATGTTTAATTGCTTTTAGTACCAGATGGATAGCTTCAGGGAAACAAAATGCAACATTTTAAACTCTAACATTGAAAAGTGATACAGTAGCTTGAATCTTAAAATACTGGATTTGTTGATAACTTCCTGAGAGCCTTATGAATATATAAAGATTTTGAGCTCCCTCTTGCTATGTCCATGTATATCTATTTATCTATATGAGCCTATTTATCTATATACTGCACCTATCAACTAAGTTTTCCTCTTGGGAAAAGATACATTATATCCCCCATCCTATGATCCTATGAGTTATGTGCCAAAACAACAAAATAATTAGGGAACAAAGGTGAAGAAGAATAGACCAGAATAGGAATGGCCAGGTTTTGTATTCCTATGTGCCACCTAAAGATATAGAATGAGAGCATACTGTTCTTTTCAGCTCCTAATTTATTTAATTTAGAGTCAACACCTGAACACATTTCAAAGACAATTGATCATGACTGTTTCTTAATTTAAAAAAATGAACTTGCTAACAATGATGAAAACCTTATACTGTATATGTTCCGGATCTTCTGAAACTGGTTATTTAAGGTCAGTCTCTACAACCTGTTTGATTGTGATTTTCCCAAGATATTGGTTGGCCTTGCTTAGAATACAGAATCAGTGACCACTTACAGCTAGATTTACTTTTATTTCACTTAAAGAAAATAAAAAGACTAAAGTTTAATTAGGAATGGGTGCTGGGCTATTGGCCCCAGTAGAATGCAATATATCTTGACTGTCTACTGGGCAATTCATTCCCTATTTTGTGAGAATGTTGAGGCCAGAATTGGTTCTCCTTTAAACCTTCCAGCTAAGATCAGACAGTTTGAATATCTGGTCCTTGAAGTGAAATGCTCACAGGTACAAGGTTTGCTTTAAACAGTACACTACTGTATGTATTGATTGATATGGATCCCCTTTGGTGATCCTGTTGTCATCATGAATAGTGCTGAACTGGTAAGACCTGAAACTATAGTTAAATCACAGAGGCGGTTCATTGACAGTGGTTCATCAACAACTTTATCAAACAAGATATGCCACCTTCTGGGTGTATTTCTGTGCTCATTAGGATATTGAAGAATAGTACAAAGGCATTTGCAGTTCTTTGTGTGCCTTCAGTAGTGCAAAACATTTCAGTGGTTAATTTAATATGTTTACGAATAAATACAAAGCTTCCCATTTGCATTCTTCAATCTACTTCAGTTGAATTACCGTTAACTGCATTGGTATGTTTAATTCACTGTAATAATCTGTAGTTCAATTCAGATTTGTTTCCACTGACTGGCAGACCGTTTTGATTTATAACTTTTTGACATGACTTCATTTCTATCCTGAGCCATGCTGACCACCTCAAAATCCTGCTGTTTTTGTCCCTGGTGCTCATGTTATTTAAGTCCTTTCAAAATAAAAAGCCTTTCAGAACTTTCAAATTAACCTTAACATCCTCCCAAGATCATTAGTCTTGAATACTACGTTCAATAAATGAGGAAGTTTACTTTTTGTTTTTCCCTAACATGTCCTGTAGAGTAAAGCCTGAGCTCTCTGCTACTGCTGTTATTAATGCTGCATTATTTACAAGACACCCAAAGCCCCAAAAGGTCTTGTTTCTAGGATGGGAAACTTGGGAGCCAAATTCAAAGGATCAGGCTGCCTCAGCGCCCCTCAGTTTTTTTGCTCTCTACCCTCTGGACTGCAGTGTAGAGTTATTTTGTTTTATTTTCGTGTACAGTGTTTTGTACAGCTCAAACTCTTATTTCTAATCTTGGATGGAGGAATGCATAATGCTTTCTGATTACTCGAACAGTATTCAGATTTCAGGCAAACATTATCAGATCAAAATGTTGAACACAACCAAGGCGCTTGACTTGAAAATCGATTCATTAGCTTTCTGGCAGCTGAGGTTTGAAAAAGATCAGCAATGCTTTTTTTGAGCAAGTTAAATAATTGTTTGCCTTTGGTTTAGGCAGCATGTGCCGACAAAAGAGATTGCTACTTTTCACAAGAATTTAGAGGCATTTAAATAAAGCAAATTTCATCCTGCTGAATACAGAGAAGAAACTGCTCCCCAGCCCCCCAGCATAAAATTACTATTGCCTTTTCCTGAGAGCAACATGGGTAATTTAACAAAACATGATTTTATGATGAGTACAGGATCATAAAGGTAGAAGACTGGATGTGGAGGGCTCAGAATGGAATAACATTAAAGGTGAATGTGATCTTGAAGGGCAAGTCACATTAGATTCCCCACTAGTGTAAATGCTAAACTACACATTATTTTTCCCAATCGCACATTCTGGCAGCGCAAAATGAAATCAGATGAAGCGCTGAGAAATGTGTTTCAATTTATCCTCCGTATTATGACTATAATATCTGACAGGGCAGGAAACTGAAACCCAGGAAATAGAACAGCACAGGGGCATGAGGAATTGTTTCACTCTCTCTGGGCTTTCTTCACACAGTTGTTACACATTTTGCATTATTAAACGTTTGATGAGCACAGATCGCAGCATCTCTCTCATCTCAGAAGGCAGGAGAACCGTTGGAAATCTAAGAATTTGGGGTTTGCTAGGGTTGGAGCTGTAACTGCCAGGGGTATTTGTGCGTGGCACTAATGTAAAGTTTATTGAACAGTGGCAGTGAACATATCCAAAAAATATATGAATCATTAACATGTTTACAGCAGCATTGATAGTAATGCTTTATCTGAATATTGATGTATAATGGTTTCATAATCCCTTCATACCTTCTACACAAGGCACATATACTGTATAGGGACATGTGCAGACTTGTGCGTGAGAGATCACAACCATTGTTTTAGCTTATTTTTTTAGTTTGGATTGTACCAAAGTGCTGGAAATGATGCAAAAATAAATGTTATGACCCCTTATGCACACATTAAGTAACTTGCACATGCCACTATAAAGTATTATGCATGTGATGATAACATCTTGAAGCCGTGTTGCCACATTGATTGTAGCTTGCAATAGAATGAGAATCATGTCCAGCATAGATTGTAGGTACTAGCCAGATTAGTAAACACATAGTTCAGACAGAAAAAAATTCACAGATGCACAAAAAAGGGAAGGAACTATACTCTTATTATGTGCTATAATGTTGTATAATTTCACATTGGTGAGATAAACAAGGTTTTGCTTTCCTCAGGAAAGTAACTCTTGATGTTTTCTTTTGTGGCATGGGGAGGACAGGCTGTTACTATATGTCGTATAATGGGTTCTAAGAGACATGTTTTTTATTATTTATTATCATCAGTGATTTTAATAGCAGTGCCTGCTTGGATCCTTTAGAAAAAATATCATATTACATCTTGCATTGGCCTTGATGTTGTAATGCAGAAGACTGAAACTGAGTTGTTCAATTGTGGCAGACTGAAAGTAATTAATTATGACACTGGAAATGTCACTGTGACTTTAAGACTGGGAAGAAGCATGCATTTGTATACTGTGTAGCCAAGACGATTTCAGAAAAATTCATACCTTCCCCTTTAGCAGTCCTGAGCAGATAGAACCAGTAGAACACTACTTGGAAAGCTAATTTCAGAAAATCATTCGACCTGAGTGAAGACAAGCTCAATTGAGACTGTCTCCAGAAGGTGGAACATTGCTGTACTGAATCTATTTCTGAGCCTAGTGAATAGGCTTGTGGCATTATGATCATGCCTTGGGTAAACAAAGACCTTGGGTAAATGCTAATTGGTCAGTGCCTTTTCTGGGTTCAAAACAGGTGGTTATTTAATTCAGTAACATCATTATATAATTAACATTGAAAAAGAAAGTCTTTTTTTATTCTGGTTGACCAACTTTTTTGGATATATAAATCATTTTCTCTTACCTCACTTGAAATTATTTTCCCACACCGAGTGAGGTATTGAATTATGACACAACACAGTCCAACACAACACATTCTAATAGACCTGTTGCAACTACTACGGTAGGTTATTCCATAGATACTGTTGTGTGATGACACCTGTGCTCAATGAGTGTTTTTCTAGCCACTTTTTAAAGGAATACACTAACAACTGTCTACAGTTACAGAAAAAAGGGTTCAGGGTTTCACATACAGTATGTGCCATTAACCAATAAAAAGTGTTTCTGAAAAATTGTTATTTTTATAATATTATATTTTTGTATATAAATACTGTATTTAAGAAAATGTTTTTTTTTTCTTATTTCTTCACTACATCAACCAGCAGTTCTGTGATATGGCTCATAAACCCTTTTGATCTTGAAGGAGTTTGTTCATTCAGGCGGTAGTGAACAAAAAATAGCAAGTCACATTTAATTGGCCATATCACATCAGAGGTGACTGTCATTACATGGTGTAGCACACATGCAGCGGAATTCACCATTGCCGGTGTTCTGTTTGCTGATGAACAACATGCACACATAGAAATTGTTGTTTACATAACTCATTTGTTTCGAAACTTTAATTAGGAGAAGGGTTGGACAGGCATTTCAGAGAATATTTGAGGAAATAAAGCCACTGAGACCACATTTGCATGCATCTTTCATCAAAGGCAGCATGTTCAACCTGATTTGGCAATGAGCACACACACACCCCATTAAAACAATATACTGTAAATCTTTGGAAATAATGGCAGATGTATCTGATCGCCACACTTGATGGTTCAATTCTTTATGGCTTCTGCAGACATTGGGTTTTTAATGGAGGCAACCCTTCTAGACCCAAAGCTTCCTCCCCTAAACAATGGAAGTTTTTCATACAGGTGCCACAAAATGAGGAGCTCTGACAAGATTTGATGCTTTTTTTGTCAAGGGAGGAGGGAGTTCAAACAACTCATGTGAAATTAGCACTCTCTGTCCAGGAACCTGCTTGTATATCCCACTGAGACTGTCATTAAAATG